CGGCGGGGTGCGTCCATATTCCTCCTCTCCTTGATAGTCTGCGGTCCATCGAGTCTAAGATCCAGATCTCCGTGGAAATACCTTCGTCTAAAACTCCCGGCCACCCCCCGACTCTTCACGATCTTTCGTTTTCTCGACCATCCCCTGCTTCTATACTCTTCAAGCACTCGTTGCCTTTTCCTTTCGCTCTACCTCTCCTCCCCTCCTTTCTCTCTGTCTTGCTCGCTCCTTACGTCGCCCCCCCCCCTCGTTTCGCTTTCTTTCTTTTCTATCCCAGCTTTTTTCTTCATCGCGCTCACCCTCGTCCTCTCCGCCTCTACCGCCTTCTCGTAAGGAAGGTCGTAATTGGCCCTTCGACCACGAGCGACCACGGTGGAAAGCAGCCGAGAGAGCGAACTACGGACAGCGCGGGAAAGGATTGGGGGGTTGCGGGGATAGGGTAATTGCGGGAGCGACGGTAGCGGTAGTGAGAGATCCTCGGGAGTGTCTACCCTATATCACGGGGGCTGCTGGGAAGTACAAGGGACACGGGGCTCTTCCTTCCATCCTCCTGGGAGCGAACCGGCCATCCCGTCGCTCTGAACTTTACCCGGGGTGAGATATGCAGAAATTAAATATTCATTCGAGTTACCATCCTTCGGTCTCTGCCCCCCTTCTCTCTCTCTCTCTCTCTCTCTCTCTCTCTCTCTCTCTCTCTCTCTTCCTCTCTTTCTCTCTTTCTCTCTCTGTCTCACTCACCCATCTTTCTCACTTTCGCGCATGTATCGTCTAACTTTTTTTTTATTCCTTCTCGGAAGTAATGCTTTGGCTCTAGGCCAATTCCGCTCTCGAGGTTCGACATCCTTTCGTCTTGCAAACATTGCATGCATCGTAGAAAGACGCGATGATATTCACAAATGTACAAAGAGTCTCAGAGATTATCCATTTCTTGAATCTTATAGATACTAAAAGTAAAATTGGCGAAAGATATATTCATGAAATTTATTTGCCACAACAAATATTAAAGAACTTCTCCAACATGATTTTTGCGAACGTAATTAATTAAAGCTCTCTTATTCTTCCTCGATTAATTTTGAACAAGTACTCGATCAGAATTCTAATTCACTATTTATCTTTATTTAAATATTTAACGTTGAAGTATACAGAAATTAATGACGTCCATGTATAATTTGACAAATCTAATTCAAATACGGCAAACAATCTACGATTGACGGATTGCGCTTCATTCCTACGATATCCTGTCGTTATTTCCCTTCTTCAAGCATCCGATTCTCTCCGTTGTTCCGTCGCCTTTCTACAAGCCCGACGATTTCCATGGACTCGGAATCGCGTACCTGTTGAACCAACTACCGACTTCGATGAAATAATGACGAGTGGCTTATGCGCCGTCTGCAGCCACACCGCCAACGAGGGAAGGACGCGGGAGCATAGGGCAGGAGGCAGGATGCAGCCGTGCTGCGTTGCGCAATGTGCCACCTCCCCTCCTCCCTCTTCGCCTCCGTTCACCTCTCTATCCTCCCGCTGCAGCCGGGCGAGGTATTCTCTCTGTCGGTGTGGAATTGCGTCGTCCTCTCTGCACCCTTCATCCCGGACACATCCTGCGGGATGAACGCGGCTATGGTTTCGAGGAGACGAAACGCCTCGCTCGGGATAAAAGGATTTGTTTTACTGCCATGGCGGCGGCGCGCGGAGCGGGGAATGAAGACAGGGGAGCGAGATTTGAATAGCGTTGTCGTCGTGTCGTCGCACAACGGGCGGATCGCTAAATTGTCGGAATCGCGCGGCCGATAATTCGTGCCGCCTCACTGCCAGCATGGCTGCGGTATTTTACGCCCGGGATTGCTCTCGGAACTCTCGGTCGCCTTTAGCTTCTGCCATATTTCTAGCAAATTTGCGTTTAAGTACATTTGTAAATACGATATTTTCAGTGAATATCAAAGTGAGTGTAAAAAAGAGAAGTAGATGTTGCGCCAGTCTCGAAATACATATTTTAATATTTCCTTTGAAATTGCAACAATATTACATGAAGCTTTAAAATTACTTCCACACGATTAAATAAAATGTTTATATGATAACAGAATCGCGCGCGCGCGCGCGCAATGATTATATTTATTTCAGATAGAAAAATGATTAATTTTTCGGTATTTTGTGCACAATATCGCGAATTTTATATAATTCTTGTCATTTTTATTTCTGTTTTTACATGACATGTTCCTTCTAGGACAAGCGAGAAAATTGCGAGCGCAGATTTCAGAAACTAAAGGTTCGTTTTCCTGCTCCGGGAATGGAAATGTCTGGTCCATTTATGTCCCACGCGACAAGATTTCTAATTACGCGAATCTAATCCATTCGCGACTATTCCTCCGTAAGAATTAATAACCTTTTTCCTTCCCCTTACCTCCTTTCAATTATCATAATCTATATTCTACAGTGATGAAATTTTATCACGAGTTGCGACAGTTTGTCCGTCTCGTTTCGATTAATTATAAATATTTTACAGGATTTATTAATTTCATTTAGTAAGAGATATATAATATCTCTAGATATTAGAGATAGATGGATGGATAGATAGATAGATAGATAGATAGATAGATAGATAGATAGATAGATAGATAGATAGATAGAGAGAGAGAGAGAGAGAGAATATTAGAGATAGAGATTAACAATATTATTAAAGATTGGATAGAGAAAACGTCATAAATGTGCAAAATAAAAGTCTTAGAAAGATTCTTGATATTTTGAGAATAAAATCCCAGAATTTTTTCAGTAAAACATGATTTTTTAATAATAAATAAATAGCTGCGCCAAATTAAATACTCAAAATTTTTTTAATTAGTTCTTTATCATTCTCTCTTAAATCTGTATTAAAATGTTATTACTATAGTAAATATACGTATACAAATATTTGCGAAAGAAAAGAAATTTTTAGTGACGAGGTTTATAATTTCACGCAATATATTTAAAATCTTTTTAGTATAAGAAACTACAATAATTTATCGTTTCTAAAACGAATGTCCTTCGAGATATTTTATAGCGCGCCAGCGCGCTGCGGATGCTTTTCGTTCACACGAGAGAATAAAATTCCTTTTGGATGTTTCGGCTTCTCGCGATTGGCAGTAATACCTCGAGTTCCATCCTACGATGATCTCACGTGTGTGTCCCGCGGCATCGCTTTCATGCCGACTCGAGAACGTAACGATTCGTAGAAACGCACGTTACTTCCACATTTGTGATTCATCATCTGAACAGGTATATTGCGATGAAGGAAATTATATATAAGGTTAAGAATGGAATGTCTAAATCTACAAATTTACCGGTTAATTTTATTACATCGGTGTTTTATTTTATAATAATAATTTTTCATTTTGATGCTATCTTGTTATAGTATTATAGTCTCTTCACTTTAACTTATATATTCTTTAATTAATTATAAACTAGTTCTATTTGTGATGAAGACGTCAAAGACGAAATGACAATTAATATTTATGCGATGCTCGACTGGAATTTTAGTCTCCAAGAAATTTTCGAGGAAAAGTGTAAACTCTTATTTAGAAATTTATAGACATCAGTCTGCCTCAAATATAGGAGATCCATTTTGTGATGAAAACTTCATATCTCCCTATATTTTGGACTTCATAATACGGAAAGACATTAATCTTTTAAAATGTCTAAAATCATCGGCGTTTTGCATAAATTCAGCTCGATAATGAAAGGGTTAATAATCCGACAAGCTGATTTCGTGTTTCAGCGAGGGGTCGTAACGACCCGGCCGGTGATCATGCCGCGCGTTTCACGGCGCGGTTTGAATTTCGACTTGAATGCGAGCCAATATGGGGTACATAACTCTGTGCCGACCATTAGTTTCGCTTTTACGAGGCAAATGAACCATGCCCGCGCTCGTAAGATCGTGGAGTTTACATTTTTAACGACGGAACACGTTCGCCCCCGGTGTGCGTCGTGAATTTGTTTCGCGGTGGGCGAACGGGCGAGCGAGCGAGCGAAACCGCAACGATCGATTCGCCGTGCTTAGAAGGGCGCTTCGTTTCACGAGAGATAGATTTAATCCTAGCAAGGTCCTGATTTGTAGCATGGCGAACTCAAGATACGTCTACCGTGACCTATTACCGACATTAAAAATACGTTTTTTTTTTTTAAACTTAATTTAAAGGTAAATACATCAACAAACTATACTAGATAAATTATGCTCTTTACGCACTTCAAATATTTTCCTCTCGAAAATCTTTACTAAAATCCTCTTCAACGATCAAAAATGAACTTATATTGTAGACTCTTATCGGCCTGAATTTGATTTTCTACAGTTTTTTCACGAACTAGTCTTACTAATCAATTACTATTTAGTACATTTAACATTATTTCTTGCATTTGTCAATATTTGATCGAAATATATCTGTTATCAACTCGCGTACAGTATTTACTTATTACATTTAGTATATGAAAAATACAAAATAAGTGTTTTATAAAAGTTACAGAGAATTATCGTGAATAATCTTATTGAAGATCAAAATACAAGGCAAATGGTTTAATTCGTGTTAGTAACACAGATAACTTGGGTAATAAAGGGCAATGTTACAAGGGCATTGTACCGTGTTACAATCGCTCCTGCGCTCCTCTATAATATCGATATATCGGAATCCCGATGAGACTCTGGCATTGTGGACTGCAACGGCGCGTTTAGAGGTATTTCCTATCGACAAGGGACGGACTTTACTACTAGTTAAAGCCACTTTCAGTAAGGGTCGCATCGCTGTAATCTCTTTACGGGATTACGGCCATTATGGAAAATTTTGAAGGAATTGGTCGTTAAATTAATTTGTTCCAAGAATGAACACCGAGATGTAATTATAAAATTACGGGACGCGCGGCAAATTGATTTATGTACATATTATCATTTAGCTACTGTCTACGTAATTAAATATTTGACTGTAAAGTGCATCTGTAATAGCAACTCAATCGCTAATTGCAATTTTATTTGGTTTCAGAATGATCAACAGAGAGGTGAACAGCTGAAAATGCGTGAGGTGAGTCTTTTTATATTATTTTTTAATTCTATCTTGAACGATACTTTCGTGAAAATTAAAATCTTTCTATTGACTCTGATAAAAGTGAGGAACAAAAGAAATCCGATACTGTCTCTTTGACATCGCTTATAAAAGTACAAACATACTGACTTTGGACATCAGTTTCATACCATCACAAAATCGATATCTCACTAAATTGACGTAACATTGTTTGCCGTTGCTCCACTGTATCGCAATTGTATGTGTACAGCAAACATCGACGTAGACGGTCGCTAAAGTTCAAAGTAATTTCGGGACGCGCGGCAAAACATTTAGCACAGATTCCTTAGCGTCCATTGACGATCCCGGAAACACGTCCGCGGCATTGTTTGAGTTTCGATTTGAACGCGGTCCAATATGTACCGTGTGGTACATAGTCGTCTATATTAGCTTCTCATTTGCCTAGTATGCGCGATGCTACCGAGAAAGCGGCCAATTAAATTAACTAATAATACGCGTTGTAATTATCTTCATCGTGCATCGTTCGATCAATTACTAATTACATAACGGTGTGAAGCGTCGCGATAAATTAATAAGGGCCATTAAGTATCGAGAATCATAAAATTGTATAAAAATGTAATTAATTTTAATGACCATCGCTAAAAAATTATCATAATTAGTTTTGGATACCGATTAACGCGTGATTAAATTTTATAACTAGTATAAAGTTTGCCTTCGAGATATCCGTAATCTCCGAATACAATCGAAGAGGTCAACTTTTTATTAAGAATCACCCTCTTCTCGTCATGCGTATATAACTTTTCAAAGTTACTGATTTACTGAGATTTCTGCTTCACTCCACTGTGCTCGTCAGACTATAATTTCGCATGCTATAGAATTTGCAAGTAGCATTTTCGTTTTAAATCTGATTGCGTGGAACATTTAGGTAGGATGAGCCAGATTACACCGCGATGTAAGAACCAGGATACCAGGATATTACTCCCGATTTTGTGTATTGCGTCGAATTTTCAGATAAAATGAAAAAGTAGGACACATCAGGGGGTTAACGGGCGACACGCAAATAACGTCTACCGAGAGGGTACACGCGTGCTTGGCGGCATCTCGTTGTTCAAGTCTCAACTTGAACCCGAGCCAATCTGCGAGCCGCTGTTTTGCTCTTCAGAGCGCGGCGAATCGCGTCGTAAGGACGATCGTTATGGCGATTCGCGATAAAATCCTTATTCCACGGTTCACTGCCGCCGCCGTTGCCGTCAAGACAGAGAGAGAGAGAGAAGCGAAACCGCTTTCTTAAATATTATTCGCCCCGGAGCGTTCTATTATTCCACGCGAGACAGAAGCGGCCGGCAGGAATTCGATCCTGCCACACCGGAGAATTTTCACCGGATACATCGGATCCGGCCGGCGGCTTCGCGCCTCTATTTCACTCTCTTTTTCACTCTTGTCTCTCTTCTTTTTTCCCCAGGACGAATACGTCCCTATCGTCGCGGATCGAATCGGTAGAATTATGTTGTTGCGTCGGCAAAACGAGGTATCGCGTTCCTCGCCTTCGACGGGCCTTCTAGTGTTTTATGTAAAGACCGAACAATTTTATTCCACGTCCTCGAGTACACTCTTCTCTTCTCTCCACATGTTTTATTTTTTCTCTCTCTCTCTCTATCTCTGTTTCTCTTCACGTCTCTCTTCTTCTCTTCTTCAGGGATCTCTCCTACCGGCGGTGCCATAAATTTCATCCGCGCTACCCCCCTTGTGCTTTGCACTGTTACTTGCCCATATATTCCGATATCCTAGAACTCAACCTTGTTCCCGCAACCCATTTCGAAGCACTCCTGCGGTTACTTTGGCTCACCCACCTTATACGTATATCGCGAATTCCGATATCGCGACCGCAGTGCGCATCTATAGATACATTCGGCAACTATATCTTCGTGTGCGTCACGTGGAACGGATAGGGCTTTCACACAGTTTCATTCATCGTTTCGGACACCCGTGACATGAGCATGTTTAGTTTATTCATCTGAATCGCATCAACACCTCTGTTCTAACATGGCGAACTGAAATTCAGAGTCAATAATTATGCAACCTTCAACAAAATTTTAATAGATGACTGTAACCAAGACCAACGATCGCGAATTAAGGGGTATAAGATATCTTATCAAAGATAAAATTTACAGAAAAAAATATTTTAATGTAATTTATGTTCTTATTTATTATATATTTTTATATTTATAAACAGCGATTTTGTTTATTAAAATGTATTAACAGTATTGTTTTTCAGTTGAACGTCTATTTTTTTAAATGTTTTATATGTTACCATGATGAGATAGCACAAATGGCGCACTTGATATTCGTGCTATTTTTTGCTGGAACCTAAGAAAAGGTATGATGTATGAAATAGACGTCACATTAAAGACGATCTATTATGAAACGCCAGAGTCCGATGTTATAAAAATCCATCGTCCATCTACCGACCAGACTTTTTAATACATCCTTTTTCTCTGAAAGCTCGCGTTCCCCTTGTTTCGTTTTTACGTGCATGCAACATCAACAACGACGTGTCGTCCTTCGCTTTTAATCCACCCGGAGAGAAGTCGATTCTCTCCGTGCATCTCTCCTAGAACGATTTTCATTCTATTTGCTTGGCTGCCGTTTAACGGCCATGCGCTGCTAAACCACCGCGATACGATGGATGCGCCAAGAAAACCGTATTTTTCTCGTCTTTGATTTTCCTAAAAAAGGAACTCCATTTTATTTGTACAGTTACCGTCGTATTCCGTACGAATCTCTTTTCTACCTCGCCGGACATTCCGATATCCCAGTGCTTAACCTTGTTGCCCAAACCGGAGCTTCGGAGCTTTCTCTGCCAGGAGTCCCTCGTTTTTCTCTTTATTTATTTAATACAAAATCCCACGACGAATGTGCCGGTCTAGTGGATCTTTAGGTCGTAAATTTAGAACTTTCTCAAATTCAAACACCCGAAGCCTGTGCGAGATCGTTTCTTTTTTTAATCTTATTTCATTTTTTTAATAATTACGGTCAGTATACTTTCATATTTTATTTATAATCTGACTTTAAGTATCGGACTTATTAATTAATATTATATCCGTATACGGATATTTTAAGGAGCATAAACCATTACATAAAAACGTGAAATTTCTTCTTAATTTGTACGTGTGGTCCAATATTCGATATGGTGATTTTTAACTTTCTTGCCTTTTTAACGAGGCGAATTCATTCGACCCGACGATTTCCGTAATCCGTAATCCACTCGATTCTCGCACGTCGCGCGTTGGCGTGAAATTTTAATACCAAATCGATCCCCGCCGTCACGGCTTTATCGCCTGCTATACGCGCGATATCGATTTCGACCGTCGCGACAATTACGATTGACGTTTCGATACGTGATCGAGGAGCGACCCGATCGGATTCCTCGCCTCGACGTTACGTCGCTGTTGCTTTCAACAACAATGGAGCTTCACCTAGCGCGACCCGTTCTCCTCACGAGTTACCGTTCGGCTTCGAGTTCTATCATCACGAGAGACACACACTTTCTTGCCAGTGGTGTAACCCCACAAGTCTCAAGGGAACTTTAACACCGAAAGGAGAAAAGGCAGAAAAGAGGGATAGAGAAAGAGGTAAGAAAAGAAACGTCGTGAGGGAGAGAAAAATAAATCTGTTTGTTATTCTGGGACACATACGCAACCTCTATCAAAACAAGGATAACGCAAGAGCGGAGAATGTGAACGATACGAAGCAGCGAAACGGTAAAAACTAAAACGATAAAAATTGGGAAAGAAATCGAAAGAGGCACAAGATAAATATGAAGGCTGATAAAAACGTCGGCGTGAAAAAATTTTGTTACGAATCGTATAGAACTAAGAATACCGATAGCACACAGATAAGTAAAACGTGATCACTTAAAACAATGATGAAGCAAAGTTACGCGCGTTTGCGACTGCGTAAAGATAACTTGAATAATTCATCTTCGAGAAGATTTACTTAATGGGGAAAAGAAGAGAATAGAAAAGACAGAAAAATGAATCGAAGTGAAGGGTGAAAATAATTGAAATCGCGGAAGAGCCTCTCATTAGCCTCTCCTGTTGCGAAAGGTGCGCTCCAAAAGCGTGAGTATTACGTCATTGTCTCTCGCATTTGCACGCGTTTAAATATTCGGCCGGCGCGGCGTCATAAATTTCGCCCTCGCCATCGCGTGCCCCATACACCGTTTCGCTATTTTGCCATGAATTCCGATATTCTGGAACTTAACCTTGTTCCCGACAACCCATTTCGCAGTTTCTCTCGTTTGTTCTGGTCCAACTTGCCCCGATGCATGCCGGCTCCGTACACGTTATGCCTCCTCGAGAGAAATACGATCCGATCTGACAGTCACGTCGATGCTCTCCCTTTCTTCCCATCTTGTTGTAATCCAATAACATCTGTTCGGAAGAATTCGGCGCGAAAATCCGGGATTCGTTTCCGCTCGAGCTTGCGGAGCGGAACGCCAAATCCGGGAATCGTCATGGTCCATTAACGAATTCGCCTACGTTCATCGACGTTCATCTGACACGAACCCGAGTTGTATTTTTAATCATAATTCTACACGGACGTTAATTTTTGTAAAATAAATTCAAACGAGAGAGAGAGTTGAGTATGGGCTAGAACCGCAGGGTCTTAATAAAATTTTGTTAAACAGAAAATATGAAAATTAACATAATGTAACCTCTAGTATAAAATTAATGCGAGCTCAAAGCGAAAATGCTTCTGAGCGAACCATTTTCTGTGCAGAATTTGATAATTGATAAGTGAACGGAAGTTATTTATTTATAATGCTGAGAGAGAGAGAGAGAGAGAGAGAGAGAGAGAGAGAGAGAGAGAGAGAGAGAGAGAGAGAGAGAGAGAGAGAGAGAACAGAGGAGAGGAGAGGGAAGAGATAGACAGAGAAAGGAAGAATTAGCGATGTTGTCACCTTATCTATCGCGAACGTACGAAATAAATGTCAGAGA